GACAATTTTCTGCTGGTAGAGGTACCAAAGTCAGAAATCTTTATCAACTTAAATGTCGACTTAACGTCATCATTGTCATCATTAACCACCCAATATCCAGATCAATACTCTCAGATCATGAGGTTATTAATAAACAAACCGAACACATCTTATAAACATCTGACCTGCCTCTCTGACCCTTTTTATAGTGCAACGATGTTAGTAGATGACATGTGTCTTATTAATCTGGTGTGTTCCAAATCGACATTGATATACATGTGCGCTTTTTTGTCAATGTTCACATTAGACATTTTGGGTATTATCTGCCTGTGTATATGTTGTGTTATCAATGTTATTTTTTTGTTACATTATTTGTTTGTACTTTATTTGTTTGACTGATTAATGGACAATCCTTACTGGAGGCATTTGAGATGTTTGTTAAGCTCATGCGCAAACACTTTTACAATTTTTAGGGTTAGTTGTTAGCCAAGTGTATATGTAAGCCTTATAGGATAGACCTTCCTCTCATATTAAGGCATCCCATTGTGGAAAGAACAAATAAATAATACGCCCCACACAGCTTCTATCTTACCCACAAACTATCTAGCTGTGAGGCAGCTCTAAGAAATATAGCCTAGACCAGTTAGCAGCACTGTGCCGATATAGGATTGTGATGTCCCGTAGCGTGCCGATTCTATTTTTTTAAATTGAGGTGTGTATGCTGCCGTATTCTGCTTGTGTTATTTTTACTGTAATTACTTTGTATCATTGTATTTGTGCATATATGAGCTATTATATTGTATATGTTCATTAGTAGTTTATGGTATCGTGTATGATACATATGAATGTGGGCTGTGTATGAGGGCTGCTTGTGGAATTGTGTGTGGATGGATATGTCACATTGTGTGTTTGGTAGTGTGTGGGGGCTGTCTGGGGTATTGCATGTGAGAGGCTGCATGTGGGGTTGTGTGCATGTATGTACATTGTTAGTGGTGTTATTTTTGTGGTGATTGTGTGTTGTGTGTGTGGGCTGTTCATATTATTTGTATGAGGGGAGGGTTATTCTACATTTCTGTGTATATCTAGCAGTGTGGGTGGGTTCCCTGGGTTCCAGTGGGGTCCAGGCTGGCCAAGCACAGGTCAAGGACAGTAGCTGCGATAGCTGTCGAGGGCTGCTCTACTACAGTGTGGATTATCATTCACAAGTGCTGGGAGGAAGTGATCTGAGATCACTTCCTCTATGTGCTGCAATGCATAAATTGAGGTTTGTCCTTCACCACATTTTTGTATTAGCAGATATCTGAAGTTTTACTGGGACTCCTGATAGGTCAGAGTGCGTTTGGCTCTAGCAGCCTTGAGTGCCGTGCAAAGACACCTTGAGTGCCGTGCATGGCACTAGTGCCGTAGGTTGCCTACCCCTGGCCTAGACTATACATACTCGCAGGCCTTACAGATAGGTATCAAAATAGGGGCTTTATGTGGTATGCTTTTACCCTGTTTAAGTGTCTTTTGGACACGGTATCTATCTAGGTTAGCTACTACTTGTCTACCCCCAGATACCTCTCTTATATTCTTTTGATCCAGCTTCAAATTGAGGCTTTGTGTGGTTTTCCTCTCTCTACTTTTGGTATTCTAACCAGTCTTTTCCTTACATTCACAACCAACTACTTACTCCAGATTAAGCACTTTTGAGTTGAGCTGTGTTGATTATTAAGGTGGGGGTAAGGAACTATTTCATATTCCTATCCCCCTGCTCCTTATAATCACGTTACTTAACATACCAGTCTACTGGATTATAGCTTTATAGACCTACGCTATCTCTACCGATATACTTACCTCTACCTAATTCTTATCCATTCTAATATTTCTAAATATTCCTAATATTTCTAAAACTTCTAATATTATAAATAAACACCTTGCTCTATCTTCCTGATATCCTTAGACCGCTGTAATTACGTCTAAATTGCTTCATTTTAGTCTTCCAAACGGAATAACATTGTAATGGTGAACAGCTGTTCTTTGTATACTATTCATCCTTTGATTTGGGTTGATCAGGGATTAGTAAATTTTCTGCATGTATGTTTAGGTTACCTAAGGCAGACTACCTAGGGTTTTCCTTTTTAACGTCACTTTTCACAATCGCATTTTTTTCACTTGTTTTTTCTTCAGTGTGTAAATATTAATAAAGATTATACAATGTTTTGTTCTTTTTAACGACTACATTGAGTTGCATGTCTCTCATTTGGGTAATCTTAATTATTTTTGAGAGTTGATACCCATAGTCTTTGACTTGGGTCCCTCTCTCTCAAAAAAAGATTTGTCTTTCTAGTTAAAGACACTATGAAGAAGATTACTGTGCTCCACATTCCATTTGATCCTGAGGAGTTCCTGAGTGGATCAAAGGTCCTATTAAACATATATGATGATGCACATGCTTATTGTGGCCAAAATGCCTATTGCCTCCACCTATTAGTCTAGAAATCCCCCTAGCATACCGACACTGAGAGATAGATTTGCCAAGACAACAATGTATAAAGAGCCTCGGCAACAATGTATAAAGATCCTTACCATTTTCAGACGGTTCAACCTCAAAGTCCTCTCAACAGCACCCATCCACAAGGCCTCTGTGCCTCGTCTTCTGTCCAAAGCTTCTACGTAGAAGCCTGCCAGTGGTCTCCTATGGAGAGAAATGCTTTAGAAAGTTATGTACCTACTCTCAAAGGTTGGCCAGTCACAGTTGGAGAGCAAGGGTGGACTGGGCTTTGGGAGGGGCAAATGCTCTTTGGCATCTTTTAAATTATTTTCTATTTGGCATCCCACAAAGTCAGGTTCTTTCGAATGCATTGTTCATAACATTAGTTAAGTTTGAATCTCTAGCACTCAAATTTCTTCATAGATTTTCTCCTTGAGCTCCTCAAGTGTTTATGGTTTGTTGACGTACAACCACTCCTTCAGATATCCCCACAGGAAGTAATCGAGAGCTAACAGGTCAGATGAATGTGGCGGCCAACTAATCTAAGAATTTCTTGAAATTATCCGCTTCCTGAACAGTTGTCTTAAGAGGTCCTTTTTTGCTCTGGCTGTAGGGGCAGTAGCCCCATCCTGTTGAAACCACCCATCCTATATAATAATATTGTATACCTATTTCCTTTTATTTATTTAATTATTTTTAAAGGGATACTGCAGTCACCAAAACAACTTTAGCTTAATGAAGCAGTTTTGATGTATAGATCATGCCACTGCAGTCTCACTGCTCAATTCTCTGCCATTTAAAACTATTTAAATAAATAAAAAATCATCTCACTATTTAGAGGGATAATGCAACTTTAAATATCTTTTATTATTCAAAAAAGCCTACCCAGAGTGGGTGATAAAATCATTCCAACTCTCCTTTCTCATTTTTATTAAGTCTGATTAGACAGCTACTGGGTTATTTATAAAATATAAACTAACTTTTCATTGCTATGCAGCAGTCATACACCATAACTCATAACGAAATACCAGTAAGTAAACTGTATTATCCCCAAATGATACAAAAAATCACCTTGCAAGAATCTTGTCCTACTAAATCAAACTCTTACTATTACTTCTGTTTCACTCCTCATCGTATCTATATTCATGACTGCATGTCACCTTAAATAGTTTTTCATTCATTTTATTTGATTTATTTGTATAAACACTGTACTTTGATATGGAATATATTGGGGCTCTGTAAATAATAATAATTATATTAATACAATATTTTTGTACCTCTGAATTCATCTTCAAAATGGCACAGTTGGAGATCAATGTGACTCGATATTATTTCTCAGTAATATTGTTTTCATATCAAACCAGGCTTGCATTTGGTAGAACTGTCTATAACTTGCTTGACATTGTGAAGTGTATCACACAATCAGATATTGCACTTTTTGTTTATTTTTGCAGAATAAAGCTGTGTTTAACTAAAGCATTCCTTTAATAATCAGGTGCTCTAGAGCACTTTTCTTGTAGATATAATTGTGATAACATCAATTTCTTATTCTACTGCAAGAATGAATAAAATTCAAAAATAGGAACAGGGCCCTTAAGTTAGGGATTTTCCCACAGAGCAAATTGTTTGGGCCCGTCACGTGGTTTGATGTAATTGTCTCTAGATATGGTCCCCCCCACTGTGGGTTTATTCTGAATCAAGACAACCGAGTAGCGGAATGAGCTTTGCGGGAAATGATTAGATAAGCAACTATTATGCTCTGCTGTTGTTCGTTAACTAGAACGACATCTATTTAATTCAATCATCAAAGCCTTTCTTTCCCCGATAACTTTCTGAAGCTGTATGGAGCGTGTTTTAAAAAGATCCTTACACCTTATTTTGCATACACCAGTAATGCCACGTGCAGAATAAGCATTATATTTTCTTGAAAATTACAGATACGTTAAATTGAAGCATAAGTAAAAATTAAAAAGTAAGCGAGGGAGAAGGAAAAACCAACAGCCTATCCAGCCGACAATGTTCTTTTTAATCAATTTGTAGAATATGGAAACAGACAAAGAATAAATTAGCCTTTGTGGGTGAGATACCCAACTAGTTAATGAACCCTTGAGTTCAACTGTTAGCTAATCTTCCTTCTTCTAAGACATGGTTTAAAGGAACACTTTAGGCACTATAACAACGTCATCTTATTGAAAGTCACACAATCTTACCCTCTGAATACTACCACTCAGAACCTTTTATTATAATAATGCAAAGGCTTAGAAGTGCGGCTTTTAAACTACGTTTCCAAGCCCTTTGATTATGAGAGCCAGGACTGTTATGCCAGGCTCTCACACCCTAACACACTGTGATGTTACGGGTGCATGCGCAGTGCCGTCACGGTCGACCATAGAGAATTATCGTATTCAATTATTCTCTATTGCAAAGTCAAAGGCGGATTGTGGCATGTGCCACGCATGCGCCTATGCTCTCCTATACTCCTCCTGAGGAGCATTAAAGGAACACTATAGTCACCTAAATTACTTTAGCTAAATTAAGCAGTTTTAGCGTATAGATCATTCCCCTGCAATTTCACTGCTCAATTCACTGTCATTTAGGAGTTAAATCACTTTGTTTCTGTTTATGCAGCCCTAGCCACACCTCCCCTGGCTATGATTGACAGAGCCTGCATGAAAAAAAAAAAAACTGGTTTCACTTTTAAACAGATGTAATTTACCTTAAATAATTGTATCTCCATCTCTAAATTGAACTTTAATCACATACAGGAGGCTCTTGCAGGGTCTAGCAAGCTATTAACATAGCAGGGGATAAGAAAATCTTAATTAAACAGAACTTGCAATAAAGAAAGCCTAAATAGGGCTCTCTTTACAGGAAGTGTTTATGGAAGGCTGTGCAAGTCACATGCAGGGAGGTGTGACTAGGGTTCATAAACAAAGGGATTTAACTCCTAAATGGCAGAGGATTGAGCAGTGAGGCTGCAGGGGCATGTTCTATACACCAAAACTGCTTCATTAAGCTAAAGTTGTTCAGGTGACTATAATGTCCCTTTAAATTGAACCATCATCCTGGGATTTAAATTTAGCCTTGTGGCTGCACGTCGGGATATAACATAAACTCCCAAAATGCATTGCTTGTCTTAGTGTTGGGCAGGGTAACAGACAGTAACAAATTACTCACATAGAATGTAGCCACGACTGTAGTGGTAAATAGGCAGGTACTTTATATAATATGTTATTTTTTAAAGGTGTCTTCATAAATTATAGTATTTTGGCATAATAATGCACTCGCTCTTCCAGAACTATGTTATTACCAGTTATTGTATATATTTTATATTAATGTTATTATCAGAATATTAGCTAGATAGTGAACGCCGTACATATAATTAATAATTATCCTCTCAGAATATAGTGTAGACCAGCATAAACATGTCCTCAGACCAAAATTGAGTTTCTTCATTGACCTTTCCGCCTCCTATCTCATGTTATATTAGTAATTAATTATGGCATCTGAGACATAATCATGCAACTAATCATTATAAGACTATTATATCTATTGCAAACTGGGAAATTGAAAGAATGATATCCCATGCTAGTCCTAATTAATTACTTGCAGTACATAAAAAGTGTGATGCTTGAACTGATCTATTGTTGCATGTTTCTAATTAGTTTGCAACACCTCTGTTTTGTCATTAGCTGACCTCAGGTTCTCATTAAAACGCAATAATTATATTGGACTTATATGCATACATAGAAAATGAATACATATATCTTCCACATTCGGTTAGCCAAAATACAAAATCTATGTTTAATAGGACAGCTAATATTTATTGGAATTTATTGATTCTGTAAATTAAGACGGAATATTATATGACAAAATGTTATATGATAACATTTTACTAAATGTATATGTACATATAATGTACTCTTTATAGATACATTGGCTTCAAATTATATTTCTGACATCTCACATGCGAATGTTGATTGATTGCGCAATGTTGATTGGAAATGAACAAATTGCTTGTGCACCTATTTTTACAGCGTGTTGAAAATAGAAGTTTTGGTTATAAAAAGTGTTGACATGTTTCCTTTTCAATGTGGAACATGATTTGATGAGCTTTGACATCTTCTGGCAACTTAAGAATTTATTTAGTTATGAAGTGAAATCTCTTATCCAAGCTGTTGAGTGAATTTGTTTCCAAGAGACGTTATGACAGCAGAGGAATTTGCACAATATAATAAATATATGCCCCCATGGAGCAACATCCACATTTGTGAAAAATCTCACATTTCTCTGATAGTTTACTAATAAATAAGAGGTCTATTCCTTGACCAAAATGGATCCCCATAGTATACGCACTGGCAGGGACAGATTAAGAGCCCATTGGGCATGTTGCTGACGAGTATGATGGGTCGTATTACAGAAAACACTAAAACAGTCATACCTCCCAAGTGTCATGTACCTGGTGGAGGTGGTGTCGGAAGGAAACTCACAGGATGCATTTATAAGAATACACTCTCTTGCTTTCATCTCTCAACCAAATCTATACCTCCCAACATCAGCATTCTGTGAAGCGAGATGCTGGTGGACGGGGTAAAAGGCAGTGGGCCATGATGTGCATCACCTCATTGGCAATGCCCAAAGGGACGGACCTGCCTGCAAAGAGGGCAGATCTGTCTGAAGAATTGGAAGGTCAGTCTAGCATGAATGCGTGCCTGGCTGTCTGCCAATCATGGATGCCAGACAACTAAGGGCAGACTAGGCAGACAGGACTGTTTCAGCACCCTGAGCTTGAGTTGAACACGTCTAATGATGCGCTTGCTCTACACTTTCTGGGGACAGTTCCCTGGGGTCCCCCAGAACTCACTTGTCCACTCCTCTCCTTCCCTTCTTACTAGCAGGTAGAAGCAACTGGTATGCAGCCTGGGACAAAGAAAAAGGTGGATGTAGTTAGTGTAGAATTAAGGGGACATGCCACAGTGTTAGAAAGATCAAAGCAGCAAGAGCATTTGCCCAGTGGGCAAAGTCATCTCTACCTTGACTAATTTATAGTCAGCAAGTCCACACAAGTTTTGTTACTCTGCATCCCTCCTAAGTTCCCATGCTTAATTATCACTGCACAGAGCAAGAGCATGTGAAAATAAGTAATTTTTTTATTTTAAATTAAAGTTTCTATTTCATGGGCATGTGCCTGTAGCTTCAGCTCCAATAGCCATTATGTTTATCCGGCCCTGTTCACTGGATGAACTCTCTAATGGTACATCTCAAAAACTGTTAGGAACACATCATAGATTTCTATAATGTCTGAGTCACGGGTCTTTGCTACGTTTCATTTTACAAAAAATAAAATAAAAATGTATGTTTAGTAGATATACCCTCAATGAAAACATACATGTATTTAAATATGCATTTTTATTTGGGTGGATATCTAAAAACAGCTTGCAAAACCTGTAGATCTTTTGTCTGCAGCCTTTGCAATCCCTCCCCTTCTAACCCAGACTTTCTGTGGCTGTCCAATCACAGACTTCCCAATGCAACTCAATGAGAAGTCTTTGCAAGTCAGGTGCTCTGAGCAATTGTTGCCTCTTGAGTTTAGCTCCACTGAGATAAACAACCAGGAAATAACAGGACATATTGTCTAATTGACAGGCAAAAGGGTGTAACAAAGTTAATGTTTAAAACTTTTTGTAAATTGAATAAAATAGGACACACTTCACACATAAAGCTTTTCAGCCGGCCAAATTGCTTTAGAAGTCTGGAGTTCCCCTTTAATGGCACAAAATGTATGGAGGCTTGACACTAGCACTCTTTAGTATCTTGTTTTGCAGGTTACATTAGTATAAGTAGAAAAGGACAGTAAAAGTGAACATATGGCCACTGCTAGTAACAGGAAGCCTCCCAAGGGGCACTCATTGTGTGCTTACATGGTAGCCATCATGGTAGCCATCAATCCTGGAGTCCATAACATATATGGCAAATTAGAGTGCTAGCTGTGCATTGACCTAACCCACATGTAAACACTTACTGCAATATGAGAGTAAGAGCTTCACTAATAAGGAGAGATATGATGGGGGAAAATCTGTAAAATAACATATATTGGAGTAGAGAGTGAATAGACGGGAGAGGACGGGAGAGGACATTTAAGGTAAGAGCTGGTATGCAAGTGGTAGACCGAGAAAGAACTGGAAGGGAACTGAAGTAGAGAGAGAAGAACAGAGAGTGAAGGGAGGGCAAGATTAAATTAGATAGAGAGGGGGATCTGATAATCAGAGAAACATTAGTTGGGCGAGAGAGATGGTATTGCAGAGCAAAGGAAAGTAGAACACATAGTGGGTATAAAGTATATACACATGGAAGTTTATAGAAGCACGAGGGTGAGTACTTAATAAGAGACTTAAATTAGGAAGAATAGAAATTGGATTTGGCAACTTTCAAATACATGATTTGATTTCTGAAGAAGAAGATTGGATTCAAAGGCTAAAAAAAAAATGTTTCCTCAGTGAATGGTATTCAATACAGAATGTAATGAGGTGAAACTGGCAGGGTCTTAGCAAACAAGATGCCTTTGTCAAGTGAAGTTGCCAGCTTCATTATTATTCTTGCAGGATTTGCAGTCATTGATATAGTTAAATCTCACTTTGTATGAACTTCCAGTCAGGATCTATTTAGTGCATGCCACTGTGCATTCTGCATCTGGTTCTTATAAACTCGGCTGCCAACTTTCCAATCCCACTGCTCCAGTGTCTAGCAGTGTCTAGTTTGGTCCTGCCATATTCTGGGAGTGTTGGCCATTATCAAATTCACAAAGGTAGAAAATGTCTAATGACTTAACCTGGTGACGTATCACCCATGACATCTTGCATCCGGTTCAAAATATCAACACCGATTGTTCCTGTGTAACTGTCTCATGTATTGTAAATCCCCCCTCCCCTTTCCTAATATTGTAAAGCCCTGCGGAATTAGTTGGCGCTATATAAATACCAATAATAATAATAATAATGACACCTGACCCCATCACGTTGAGCTTCAAACTGTATTTTTTATGGTTCTTTTATAGCAGAAATTTTGTAACAATTTTTGGACTGTAAATAATACAATCTCCAGGCACATTGGAGACCTTCTCCTTGCTATTATTGCTTGATGTGATAAACTATTTAACATATCAGAGTGAGTATTACTTACAAAAACTGCACATAGAGGGTTAAAGATATTCAATACAGAAGAAAAAAAAAACAAATAATCTTTACCAGCAAATAGTTTCTAAGGAAACATTTTGCAGCATTGACAGTAAAATGCTGTTTATGGTTAATATGTAAGACCATTTCATTGAGCTTAATAAGGGAGATGAACTGAATCTTTAATTACAAGATAATTGTAACTTGTCAGGCTATGAGGAACTGCTATTACAGCTGTTAGCACATAGTCTCCAGTACAAGGAAATCTAAGTACTTTTTATGTTTGCAATACTATAGTTAGTTGATAATCTCTCATATTTGGGAACAAAAATAATTCCAAACATTTTAACTTGATACAAATAAGCTTGAATGCTCCATGGGTAAAATATTTGTATGATTATATATTTGCTGATTGCTTTGCAATGCAAATAAAGAAAGCTTCGCTGCATTCGCAGAAAAAGAGACAGAATTTAGACTATTTATACAAAATCACGGTTAAAAAGGGATACATTAAGATAATTATGAAGAACTTCAATCACAGCATGCAGTAGTTCAATTTATAAATAATCTTATCACAAAATCAAAGTCATGAGAGGTCTGCTAGAAATGCCTTCATATTATCTTTTGGTTATTTTGTAAAAATGTTTAGAATTCACAATGTTGTGAGTGCTATCTCTTCCCAGCTATATATTAGAACACATATTACAGACTGGACACTGAGATATATAATATTCGGCTACTCTTTCTGCAAAGGCATGGAAAAGATGGTTAGAGGGAGTATGTAAGAGAATGTAATACATTTATATAGAAAACAGGTTAACAGAAAATGACTTTACCCTATCAAATGGCAAACAGCACAAGCCCGATATGTGACATTTTATTTATACGTAATTGAACGCGAAATAATAAATGGCCTAAATGCTTTTTTGGCAGAAAAACCTGTAATCCTCTTGGCTAAAAATACTTGAAGGTTTACTGTAAGCACTATGACCACTTCAATGGTTTGAAGTGGTCATGGTGCCTGGAGTCTGTATGTGCAGCATTTTGCTTTGAAATGCTGCACATACAGAGATTAACCCCTTAACTGCTGCAGGTGTAATAGAAACATAGAATGTGAGGGCAGATAAGAACCATTCGACCCATGTAGTCTGCCCAATTTTTTTAAATACTTTCATTAGTCCCTGGCCTTATCTTATAGCTAGGATAGCCTTATGCCTATCCCACGCATGCTTAAACTCTCTCACTGTGTTAACCTCTACCACTTCAGCTGGAAGGCTATTCCATGCATCCACTACCCTCTCAGTAAAGTAATACTTCCTGATATTATTTTTAAACCTTTCCTCCTCTGGCACCATCATTAGTCAGTCCTGATCAAAATAAAAAAAAATGGGCTGGCTAATGTGAATTCTGTGTCAAATTGGCAAAAGAAAATGACGTCAACCAAGGAGGATCGTACTGGTGGGAGAACTTGGACTAGATGATGGAATGGAGATAAGTTTTATCTGTTATTTTTTTTTTAAGTTTGGGGGAAGGACTCTCTCAGAAAGGGTTGTGGCCTAAGAATCCACGGGTCATTCATATCAGCTCATACAGCAGAGCAACAACAACTTCATTTTATATATGCAGCAATGTAGGACATTGTGAAGCTGCCAAAATCAGGCAAAATGTGCGTCCTAAAGCCATACTGACCTTCTGCTGTTACAATATTTGTGAAGCCAATGGTGCAAAACATGGAAGTGATGATACTCTTTGAGGAAATATAAAATTGGAAGGACTGCACCAGAGGTGGGCTAGTTAATGTGTAAGGGGGCAATTGCCCATAAGCAATGTTCCCCCACCCAGACTGGGCCACTGGATATTGAGTGCTGTAGTATCTAGGGCTGACTGGCCTGCCAGACTTTGATCAGTTTGTATGGTGTCCCTGGAGAGGTTTGTAAGTGTCTGTGGGGTGTGATAAGACATTGCTGAAGACAGTCATTGTATATCTCAGGCAACATTAGTGACAATGGAGTTGTGAGAAACATCCTGTGAACCAACAGATTTCTGTGAATGTGACATCAAGCTGCTCATGTCCAAGTGATGGAGGTTGCTAGGATATATCATGTCACACCTAGTGGCTCCTATCCAACCAATATCTTGCATGGGCTGTATGGGTAGGCTCAGCATAGAACTCTGAGTTTTGAACACCAAAAAGCAATAAGTTTGTCCCCCCTGCTAAAGTTTGCCAACCCTTCCATTGGGCTGAACCCTCAGGGCTTATTATCATTGCTGCTGGGAAATATCACGCGTAAGCTGTTGTTAGAACATCCAATAGATATAAGCTGTTGTTAGAACATCCAATAGATATTTGGTTCACCCCTGCTGATACGGAGTAATACTGACCACCACGTATTGCTTGCCATTCTGCAAATCTGAAAAAAATGCATGTAATAATTAACTGCCCGGCAATGCTACGTGTACAAAGTTCTAATTGACCCTTTGAGTGTTGCAGCAGCGAGCGCTCTGTTAGATATATTCCTCTCCACTGAAGCACTAAATAGTGTACTAATATCAGGGTTTGTTGCGTGGGTGGCTGACAGGGTGGAGCTTTGAGTGGGGTCCTGATTAGCCCTAGGACTCATTGTGGCACCATTTTGGTCCCCTGTAATACTGAGAGAGAAATAACACATTGAGTTGCATAATATGATACAGTGTTACTGTAATAGAGTAATTAGACAGTACATTGGGAGCAGGATTTTAATACAATAGCGTGAAAAGTTAATACAGCATGGTTTGAGGCTAACTCATCATAGAGAGCAACATTGCTCTTTATTATGCGTTTTTACCAATAAAAGACAGCACCACTGGACTAAGGCTGAGTCTCTGGGATTTGTTGGTTTATGGTGATTACGTGGAGGAACTGACTGTGGTTTCTCGTTTCCTTGCGTAGGCAGATGATAACGGAGCCATGCTGTACGAATTAGCAGACTCACTGCTCCTCTTTTCTTCACCTACCTTCTATTAACTACTGTTCTCTCCTTTTCACTCTAGCAACAACCTAGAAACATTTGACTCACCTTCTTTATGTATTGCAAGTTCACCTGTGGAAGATAAGGAGAGAAGAAAATGGTAATGTCTGCCGCCATACTTTTCATAGAAACTGAGAATTCATAAGAGGCAGGACAGAGATTCCATTAACTGCAAATCATAAACCTGCCCTCTCCTGCCCAGAAGTAACATTGTTTTTCCATGGCTGGAAGTGACCACGAGTGGCATGGCATTAGTTCCAGTTATGTGTTCATTCCATTTCAGAACAAATTCACACCTGAGGCTCTAACTACCCTCATAACCCCTTTACCAGCCAGCAGATCTCTCAGCCAATCACGGACATCCAGGTTGGATGGAATTGCACTTATGTGTAATTTCGGTGTAGATAAATAGGGGCCGAGCTATGGCTGCCACTGGTTTAGTCAAACCACTCCAAAACATATTGACCAAAAAAGGAAGTGATGTCATTCACAGAACTATAGTACTCTGACCTTAGCAGAGGCTATGGTGCTTCGCATGACAAGTCACCATGCATCTCTCCAATAAAGGTTCAGGGAACCTACTTACATATGCTAGACTAATTGGAGGTTTTGCCTTGATGTGGCAGGTGAGCTTACATTTTAATGGTGATACCAGAAAAAGTCACTTTTACATTTGGTTTTATTTCATGTATTGAGGGTTGGTGTGCACTATGGTTATTGCTGCTGCCCAGGAGTAGTGGGGGTGTGCGTGCAGGGCTTAATTATGTATGTATATATTAGACTAACTTTTACTGCTTACTGCTCTCTACATATAAATACTTTTGCATTCATAGTGTAATAATTTTTGGATATTCATTGAACGCAATATTGGCCTGAAATCCCCTGTAAAAAATGCTTAAGTACATTACTTTAAAGAAATGTAGAGATCTATTCACTAAACAGTACATTTTTATGAGCTGACAACACACTTCCTAACAAGTGAATATGTGTACTTGTGCATGAACTTCTTATTTTCAGCTTATCTACGTTTATTTCGGGTTTAAATGATGCAATTCTTTTGTCAACTCATCAAAATTTCCTTTTGCAGTGACGCTGTTGCCATCTCACCACAACTCACTGTTAAGCGAATATTCCCCTAAGATTAATGTAAATGTATTATAGCTATTGATTCTAAAGTCACATACTGTTTCAGTGCTAAATATATGTGGAATCTTAAGAAAGAACTTCTACCAATAGAAAAAAAAAAAAAGTGAAGTTTGGCAACCAGCCATTTGCATTAGGACAATGTGAATTTATCTAAATTAGACGAATTTTGAAGGTACAAGAGTGAGGTGGGTGGGTCCACACGAACAATAGCAGGCTCACCTTGGGATATGAATGTCTAGATTCATGAATAAAATGGAAAACGGTGTAAATTACAGAAAAGTATATGGATCAACTCTGTCAGAAAGCTTAAAATCACTTTGCCGTTTATATCCTAGTTTCAAAGCAATGCAGAGAAAAGCGTAAAAGCTATAAAAGAGACATAGAAAATTGAGACAGAGCAAACCCAGTCATTGAGAAATCTATAACAATGCATGCAAACAAAACCACTAAATTCATCAAATCACAAAAAAAGATGAAAACATGGCCTGATTGAAGAAAGGTGTTCATTACCAAAGGATTAACACCACCCACTTGCAACAAACTCACTTTTCACCCACCATGTAGTAATAACATCCTATACAGCCAGAAAACATTAGAATCTAGCGAAGGATTATGCTCAAGGAGTGAGAGGATTACGGAACAAGAAACTCTTGATGTTACGGAGGGAACGCTCAGCGGGTTCAGAATAAGAGCCCTTTTCGTTTAAAAAGAAATTAATGAAAGAAAAACTCAAGATAATAAAACATATTTGCATATTCAACGTATAAAAGACCTGACATGCATGGACCTGCGTATATTGTAATATTGACAGACACAGAAAAAAAAAGTTTCTCTCACTCATAGGAATTAAAAAAAATAAAAAAATATCAGTTTTATTGCAAAGGTATGCATGCCAAAATGAGCGTCAGCTTAGCGTGCTCAACTATCAACATGATCAGTTCTATTAGGGTCTCCTGACAACATGTCTGACACCGTACTGCTTAAAGTACACATATTCAGTGAACACAAAGCACAATTACCTCATTAAATGTTGCTCCTAATTCCTTTTTTTAAAATATTGACAGGAAAAATTAAAAAAATGTCATGGTTCATTACAGCGATACTCTAATGTCACCGTGTGGGAATTAACACAATGCCATGAAAATGCAGTTTATAAAGATGCAACAAAACAAGTTAAAGTATTTTGGGGCAGGTTAGGGTTAGGTTGCAATAGTAAAAAAAAAAAAAAAAATTACATATTAACATATTCAATAATTTAAAAGATTATCCAAAAATATTTAATCAAGGACTTTATCACTTTATCAGATGTGAGGTACCAGGGAACTAGATCAGGAAGCCCTGGATCCCACAATCGGGAAGGTTCAGCTGAAAATCAGGACAGTTGTATGGCATGACTAAACTTTGGGTGTTTTTTTTCTTGCTGTTGAATCTGGCTTCATTCTGAGGTTAGAATATTTCTTTCTACTCCCCCCCCCTAATTCATTCTGTTAACTGTTGGCTCATCTCAGCTGTCAGCCATGTTGCACAGCAAACTAACAGTGCAATATTTTATTCCCATGTTAAACAATAGCTTCAAAGCAGGACACACTAAGGAGAAAATTCAACATGCAGAAAAGAAAATAGAGATAAAAACTGAATATTGCATTTATTAATAAAGAAATTAAGGACATTTTAGACTGTTTCATATTTGATATAAAAACCATTGCAATGCCCTGTAGGTCTTATAGCATAAGGAGTCCATGGCTGTAGCCCCCAGTTTTGGTCAAACAGATTCACAAAAAACATTTTCAAAGCACCCAAATCTCCCTCTACTCTATGTCTGTTTATATTGTTTGTATTGCGTGCGGACACTGTGCATTAATAGACTCTGATCACTGGGGTAGTGGAGGATTTAGCTGTGCCAGATTGGTGCAGCACTTCAGTGTGGCTAACGACACAGGGAGTCTTGTCCTTGCCAGAGCTACATGTTGCGCACACGTTACATATATATATATATATATATATATATATATATATATTTTGGTCTAAAGATTATGCAGTCTGCTGTTGCTCTGAGTGTCATACACATTGCACATTGCTTTCACATTCATTTCAATTAGAACTGATCTGTCAGTGGTTTTGACATATTTGCTTCACTATGTCGAATGTTTAGCCCTTAAAGGACCACTATAGTGCCAGGAAAACATACTCGTTTTCCTGGCACTATAGTGCCCTGAGGGTGCCCCTACCCTCAGCGTCCCACTCCCGCCGGGCTGGATGGCAAGGAAAGGGGAGGGGAGCTCTCCTCCTCCTCTCCGCCTCCGATCCTCCTCTTCAGCTGAATGCGCATGCGCGGCAGGAGCTGCGCTCACATTCAGCCAGTCTCATAGGAAAGCATTCATAAGCACGCAAACGCCTCTAGCGGCTGTCAATGTGACAGCCACTAGAGGCTTTAGAGGCTGGATTAACCCATTTATAAACATAGCAGTTTCTCTGAAACTGCTATGTTTATAAAAAAAAAGGGTTAATCCTAGAGGGACCTGGCACCAGACCACTTCATTAAGCTGAAGTGGTCTGGGTGCCTAGAGTGGTCCTTTAATGTTGGACGTCTTGCAATTTTTGCATAATACTGTATGATAGATAACTTGTAGGTGTCATAGATAACTCTCCAGCCACTAAATATATTGATTTATAAAATAGAAGTCACATAGCGGCTTTACGATAAGTACTAAGTATTTTATTAAAATAAAATCTTAATGAAATACTCATGCAAGCTGCATTGAAACTTAATTGAAATTCCAAAGCAATCCAAAGACAGGAAAAGACAAAATTGGGACTACTTTGTCTTATGATAAAGCCTGAGATTGACAAAAAGCAAAGATCTGTCCGTTGTCGAATTTTATCCAACCCCAGCAGATGTCACAAGAGATCTACCGAGGCTCCCGCGGTCTTAGTGTTGTGCTATTGCACATGCTCAAGAATACAACACTGACATGGCTGGCAGATCAAGCTCCAGGAGCCAAAGAAGGCCCGCAGGAAGAGAAGAATTTCGAGTTAGGCAATAATATCTACGCAAATAAAAGGTCTTCTATTCAGCTCATGAAACCAGAGCACCATTTAGTGAATAGTAAGTGAGGATGCAGTTTCTAATGTTTCCTCTGGCTCGCTTGCATTTTTATTGGAACCATTTACTAATTGATGCTACAGCAATTTTACGCCAATTAGTGAATAGCTTTTGTGGTGCAACTTTGCTACAATGCAATTTTAAACAGACAAGACTCTTGTAAGTCAACCTTTAAGTTTTATTATTTAAAGGGGCACTACAGTCATCAAAACAACTTTAGCTTAATGAAACAGTTGTGGTGTATAGATCATGCCACTGCAGTCTCACAGCTCAATGCCATATAGGAGTTAAATCACTTTGTTTATGCAGCCCCCTGCATGTGACTTGCACAGTCTTCCTAAACACTTCCTGTAAAGAGTCATGTAATGTTTACACTTCCTTTATTGCAAATTCTGTTTAATGTAGAAATTCTTATCTCCTGCTCTGCTATTAGCTTGATAGATCCTGCAAAAGCCTCCTGTATGTAATTAAAGTTTGATTTACAGAGATAAAAACTTTTAAAGTAAGTTAATATCTAACTGAAAGTGAAATCATTTTTTTTTCATGCTGGCTGTCAGTCACAGCCAGGGGAGATGTGGCTAAGGCTGCATAAGCAGAAGCAAAAGTGATTTAACTCCTAAATGGGAGAGAATTGAGCAGCAAGACTTCAGAGGTATGATATATACATAAAAACTGCTTCATCAAGTTAAAGTTGTTTTGGTGACTATAATGTCCATTTAAGGTGTCACAATGTCATATTTGCATGTTAGGTGCCCTTCCAATGCACACTTACTAGTAATTATCAAATACATTGTAATAAAGAAGATTCTATGCCACAACGTAAATGTCTCCAAATAATATTTGGAGATATGAAGCACAACCCAAACCTAACAAGAAATGCCTGGAAGCCTAGGATAAAATAATCCAGATGTATTGTTATAGGAATCAGTTAAATAAATGTATTATAAAAGTATATTAAAATGTAACACAATCATTGGCAGTACTGAGGCAGAAGATAAAATTAATTTTGCATGCAACATAATTTTTGAAATGCTTCAAAATATAAAAAATATGCAGTACAATCTTTGAAAATAGAAACCCACTATGTAATCTATGAAATTACATTTACTAAGCTGTTTCGCATTTGCAAAGTTAGTAAATAACAAGATTGACTAACAGATGAGCGCAAAACAAACAAAAATAAAAATGTTGAGTTTTGTTTGCCATTTAAATAAAGTTATTAGGGATTTATTTTAGCATAATTCCAAATTGTTGTTGGAAAAGACTGATTGAATATCTTGAAATACATTATCATCCCATTGTTCTTGAAAATGTACATATTAATTAAACCCACCATGAAAACGAGCATTCACGCATCTACGAAGGGATGCATGATTAGAATTAAACAGGGTTATTAGAAACGGGAGAGTTTAAGAAGATCCATTTAAATGACAATATAGATGGGATATATGCAAATTCAAGGCTTTTTTTAGAGACAGTGGAAAAATGGGTAGAGCATGACTGTGGCATGCAGAAAGTTAATTATGTTGAATTGATACCAGCAATATTACAAATTCCGTTTGTTTGTTTCTTTCTTTAATATTCAGGTAAGAATAATTTACACTTATTTTTCATAATTAAAAAAACACGTCTCAATGGCGACCAAGATTATTTAATATACTGTGAAATGTCTGAAATTGCTAATTTTTGTTGAACTGGAAACATTTCTCAACTCAGCCATGGTTCCTGATATTTTGGCCTACAACGTACAACTAGTAATTTAGTTTATGACTATTCATGAATTAGGTTATAACCTTGGATGTGATTTCTTGAAGGCGATTCCAGTCAGTGTTTGCCCCCTCCCCCCTCCCCCCCAAAAAAAGATAATTTATAATTATTTGGGGAAAAATGCAAGGGCATGGCATGTATATCTTTTATATCACATATATAGTAATGTTACGTGACAAGAAGAATAGTTAAATATGAAAGGAGAGAAAATACATATAGTTCAACAGATTTTTTTACAATGTGCATTTTTTTTGCCAATTAAACAATGGAAAAAGTGTGATGAAATAAACACCATAAATGGACTATGGTTGTGTAGATGAAAGTTAACCAGACATGCACAAAAGACAAGCATCATATAAATGCTTAAAATGAATCAGCTTTGTAGATGTTGCCTATGTAAAACAGTATTGTACCTATGTTCTCAGTATTAGTTATTCTCTGATTCTCCAGTAGATGGCAGTAATGTTGCATTACAATGAATATATATAACAAATTTAGCCCAAGTCTAGTATTTGAAAAATCATTGAATCTTCCTAAACACTGTTGATTTGTTTAATTTGGATAAAGCTGAGACACACTGTAAATATCTGGTAAATAAGTGACTTGAACAAATTAGTAATCTGAAAAGATTTTAAATACACAAAGTTACTGTTTTGCATAAGATCAAATGGAAGCCATTCAAAGCCAATAATTAAGACATTTAAACTCACCTATACCATGTGTTAATCTTCTTTTTTTTTCATGTGATGTTATGTTTTTATTTAAATTCATATGGCAAGTGGCAAGTTAAATCACAATACATTTTAGACCTGGCACAGTTAAGGCACTATATGCAAATGAGCAAAAATAGATGCATTTCTTTATTTTTCCTCTTCTTTGTATGTTTTCTCTATACCAATCATGAGGTGTAAAGGACTGATTTTGTAAGAATAGCTGGCAGGGAACTAAGATTGGAAGGGTACCAAAGTAATATCTAGATTATTTTGCACCCAGAAAATAATTATCTATTGCCCTGCCATTTGTACATTTTGTTTTGACTGTTGCTTCAGCCCTTTTATGTTTTTTGCACCTGACTCAATCCCTTTTGTATATCTCCTAACCCCTCTTGCCCCCCTAGTGTATCTCTTGAACCCCTTAACCTGTGTGTGCGCCAAATAACACCTCTTACCATCTTGAGTGTCTCATAGCCCATACCACAGACAGAACATTGGCCTTTTGTGGTTTCCATACTCCTATCCAAGTGTGCCTCATGTGTTTATTGATCTATTGCTACCTGACACAGCAAGTTCTTCATTATTCTGTTGTCTATATTTGTTGACCTCAGTTTTCGTGCATCGATTTGCCATTGACCTTGACTTGTTACAGCTTACTCTTTGCCTATTTGTCTATTCTCTTTATTTGGTAGGGTTGATTTAAGTTCAGTGTATTAGGATCATTCACTATTTTAGAAGATCACGTAGAGCCTGCTGCAGTCCTATTCAGTACTACAGTGAGTGACAATTTGGGGGAGTGTTGTAAAATATTAATATGCAACTGTAAAGAATGATTTAACTCTGATTTTTAAAAGATTACAGTATAAAAATACAGACAAGCCAGGACTTTTTCTGGGTGGTATCGAGACCAGGGGCTTCAGCCTAAAGGTAAAATGTATGGCCCCTTCCACATATGTTGACTCTAATTCCTCCCTAAGCCCCAGCCTTACCAAGCACTATGCCACACTGTACTATTATCACACACAGATCCATACTATCACACTCTCACAATGTGAAACTATTTCTGTTCAGTTCTGTATCTCTTAAAAATGTTAAGTGATTGTGAAAAGTGCTACAAAACCAATATATAAATATGATATTTGCAAAAAAGAGGCCTATTTAGACAAGCAGCTTAAACACTTTGTGTGTAATACCAAAAGAAAAAATCCCACAAAACACACAAATAACTAAAATGCACCATAGTGGATGTGCTCGTACTGATAAAATTTGTGATTTTGTGATGTGTATTCACACTTATCTGAAAATTGTATCTTGCTTTCAAAAACACACAGTGCCTTTAAATTTAAATGAACAAAACATAATGTAACACATTTTAAAATGTATTACAAATACATCAAGCCAATTGAGCACTCACATATACTAGAGCTTATAAGAAAGTTCGAGCTGTACATGTCTCTGGGTCTGTTGAGGCGCCCACTCCCCTCAATACAATGTAGAAGCTACCTTACAGATCTTCTTTATGATAGTGTTGTAAAAGAGCCTCAAGCCTTGGCACTAGTTGAAGAGCGTTGTGCAGATAGAGCTTTACACCACATTCTTCTAAATATATATATATTTAAATTACACATGTAGGTTTACACACACACACACACACACACACACATATACATATATATATATATATATATATATACATATATATATATATAAAACATCCGATATAGAATGGCTGCTCACTGGTCTTTTAAAATGCAAATATTTATTAGATAAAGTTTAAAAACCGACCAACGTTTCAGTCCCCGCTCAGGACTTTCTTCAGGGTCAATAACAGGACAACAATTTCAGGACAACGTTTCATCTAGTATGATTCATATACATTTACACTCTTTTTTTATGTATTTCTGGCTAGGGGGTATTGACTTCTCTCATGTTATCTGTTACTTCTGTTTAGAGGTTCTTCACACTCAGGCATTGTATACTGTGACTTGTTGTCCGTAATCTTCACAGGTATACTCAGTTCTCTTAATTTGTACTTCTGGTTATAGATATTTAACTTTACATAGTACATGTATAATATATTACTCATAGGTCACAGTCTGGCTCTTCCCTTACGATAAATATATGCTCACCATCTATTACATAAAGGTATGTGGAGTTACATCCTTCTTTTCACTTCCTCTTCTTAACTATTCACATTCCATGGTTAATTGGATGATTTACTTTTATAGGTGTCTACTTTTACAGGTTCTCTCTTAGAGACTATCTTGTCTACCAAGTACTTGCGTTACCCATTACGCTCACCGATGTTATGAGTCAAGCCCCCGTCTAGAGACAGAGAACTGGCTGTTAGGTTTAGGCACTGGCCCTTACTTAGTTTAACTTAACCCCTTAAGGAACAAACTTCTGGAATAAAAGGGAATCATGACATGTCACACATGTCATGTGTCCTTAAGGGGTTAAGGACAGGTGAGGCCAACTCCCCACCTCAACATGGAGGTTTTAGCGTCCAATCAGTCCACGTCAAAGTTATAGCCTCGCATACCTTTCTATATGGTCAGTCAGGGCCTTACTTGTCAAAGCCACACGTTTAAAATATTTTAGTGTCACCGAGAGGCCATCACCCTACCAGATCACATAGTGGCCACGTGTCCCTTGAGTCAAATCATAGATAGAGCCTCTCACTGCCGCTGGGCAATTAGCAGGGCCTCATCTGCCACAGAGTAGTTAATGTTTTTGCCTTTCAGCACTAGTTAGCAAGCCAGTTCTGGATATGTTGTGTGGTTTCTCATTCCGGTTATTATTAGGTATTGTTACTCATTACATTTTTCTTTCTTGCATGTCTCATGAATCAGGTCACGGAGAGGATCTGTCTCTCCCCAGCATTTCAGTTAGGCCCTGCACCTCTGTCAGACTCAGTACTCATGCGCAGGGCTTGACAAATTTTCTTGAAATCTATGAGCCAGCTAAAAAAGTTAGGAGTCAGATTTTTCAACATCAAAAATAAAAATCACTATAGTCACCAGAACCACTAAAGCTTAATGTAGTTGTTCTGGAGTCTATATAGAAACATAGAATGTGATGGCAGATAAGAACCATTCGCCCCATCTAGTCTGCCCAATTTTTAAAAATACTTTCATTAGTCCCTGGTCTTATCTTATAGTTAGGATAGCCTTATGCATATTCCACACATGCTTAACCCCTTAAGGACACATGACGGAAATCTTCCGTCATGATTCCCTTTTATTCCAGAAGTTGTGTCTTTAAGGGGTTAAACTCATTTACTGTGTTAACTTCTACCACTTCAGCTGAAAGGTTATTCCATGCATCCACTACCCTCTCAGTAAAGTAATACTTCCGGATATTATTTTTAAACCTTTGCCCCTCGAATTTAAGACTGTCCTCTTGTTGTGGTAGTTTTTCTTCTTTTAAATATGGTCTCCTCCTTTACTGTGTTGATTCCCTTTATGTATTTAAATGTTTCTATCATATCCCCCCTGTCTCGTCTTTCCTCCAAGCTATACATGTTAAGTTCCTTTAACCTTTCCTGGTAAGTTTTATCCTGCAATCCATGAACCAGTTTAGTAGCCCTTCTCTGAACTCTCTCTAGAGTATCAATATCCTTCTGGAGATACGGTCTCCAGTACTGCGTACAATACTCCAAGTGAGGTCTCACCAGTGTTCTGTACAATGGCATGAACACTTCCCTCTTTCTATTGCTAATACCTCTCCCTATACAACCAAGCATTCTGCTAGCATTTTCTGCTGCTCTATTACATTTCCTGCCTACCTTTAAGTCATCAGAAATAATCACCCCTAAATCCCTTTCCTCAGATGTTGAGGTTAGGCCTCTATCAAATATTCTGTACTCTGGCCTTGGATTTTTATGTCCAAGATGCATTTTCTTGCACTTATCCACATTAAATGTCAGTTGCCACAACTCTGACCATTTTTCTAGTTTACCTAAATCATTTGCCATTTGGCTTATCCCTCCTGGAACATCACCCCTGTTACATATCTTAGTATCATCAGCAAAAAGACATACCTCACCATTAAGTCCTTCTGCAATATCACTAATAAAAATATTAAAGAGAATGGGTCCAAGTACAGTTTCCTGAGGTACCACACTGGTGACAAGCCCAAGCTTCGAATATACTCCATTGACTACAACCCTCTGTTGCCTGTCACTCAGCCACTGCCTTACCCATTCAACAATATTGGAATCCAAACTTAAAGATGGCAGTTTATTGATAAGCCTTCTATGTGCAACAGTGTCAAAAGCCTTACTGAAATCTAGGTAAGCAATGTATACTGCACCACCCTGATCTATAATTTTAGTTACCCAATCAAAAAAATCAATAAGATTAGTTTGGCATGATCTCCCTGAAGTAAACCCATGTTGTCTCTGATCTTGAAATCCATGTGTTTTTAGATGATCATCAATCCTATCCTTTAACATGGTTTCCATCATTTTCCCCACTACTGAAGTAAGGCTTCCTGGCCTATAGTTGCCCGACTCCTCCCTATTACCTTTCTTGTAAATGGGCACAACATTCACTAACTTCCACTCTTCTGGGACTACTCCTGTTAACAATGATTGGTTAAATAAATCTGTTAATGGTTTTGCTAGTACACCACTAAGCTCGTTTAATAACTTTGGGTGTATTCCATCAGGTCCCGTTGACTTATTTGTCTTTACGTTTGACAGTTGAAATAGAACCTCTTCCTCTGTAAACTCACATGTAATAAATGACTCATTTGTCCTTTTTCCTAACTGAGGCCCCTCTCCTTTTTCATCTGTAAATACTGAACAAAAATATTAATTGAGGCAATCAGCTAGACCTTTATTCTCTTCTACATACCTTCCTTCTTTTGTTTTTAATCTAACTAATCCTTGTTTTACTTTCCTTTTCTCATTTTATGTATCTAAAAAATGTTTTGTCCCCTTTTTTACTGACTGTGCTATTTTCTCTTCTGTGTGTGATTTGGAAGCTCTTATAACTTGCTTAGCCTCTTTCTGTCTAATCTTATAGATCTGTCTATCCTCCTCACTCTGCGGAGTACCACAGTGGTTTCTTGAATTTTTGTTTTTTCAATTTGACAAATATTTTATTGTTTGTCATGTTCAATGTGCGGCGCATGCTCACCAGGGTACAAAAAAGAAAAAGGAGTATTGCAGGAACATTAGGTTACAACACAGGGATTTCACAATGACCATTATTGTTTTCCTTGAAGCAGTCAACAATCAACACTTTATTTGCATTCTACCCTCCGCTTGTTCCTAGATCTTTAGTTAGTGGTTGTTTGATCTGGCTACTTAGCTTGCAGTCTACAACTCATGTCTGTCTCTCAGGTTTAACTGTCTATCGGTTATATGATCATTTCTGTTTCAGTGCTATGGCAGCTTAACTAGCACATCTTGGTCTTTTACTGGCTTTCCCCTCTGGGCTCTATTCTAAATGTGGTCATATACAGTGCTTTTGTATGCTAGTTCGCATCTGCCTGTTCTGTATATTCCATCCATCTGTTCCCTGCTTGTTTAGTGTATTTCTGTGGATTTCCAGGCTCTGGCCATTAGTGTCACTGCAGATATTAGTAGGTGAAAAATCAGTCTTTCCTCTACCTTGTCTGTTGTTGTGGGAATCATAAAGAGTACGCATTGTTCTAGGCTGAGTGGCCACCGCCTACCTATCAACTTCCCTGCTTCTTTTTCCAGCATTGCCCAGAAAGGTGTTAGTTTAGTACATGACCACCATATATGTCCCATCGTACCTCCCTGTGCCCCACATCTCCAGCATACGTTAGGGGAGCCTGGATAAATCACTGAGATCCTCTCTGATACCATATACCACCTATATTGTAGTTTTCTTATTGTCTCTAGGTGCACAGTGAGTTACCCCTATGGATTCCGAAGGCCCTCTTTCATTTTTCTGGTGACAGGGTGTATCCCAGTTTCCTATGCCATGCCTTTTGAAATGGCATTGTGGCTTCTGCCATTTCATGTTGGAGCTCACTGTAGAGTGTGGATAGTGTGTGTTTGGTTGACAGGCATATTTGCCCACCCCACACCCTTGCTGCTGCGCTGGGTTTTGTACCTTTACTCCTTTGAGCAGTGAATTCAATTGTCGGTATGGGAATATGGCTCTATTGGGGAGGTTATATAGCTCTTGGAGCTCTGGGAAGGGCATTATCTTTCCTTCTTTACATAGGTGTTTGAGTGTGGTGCACCCTCTGTCTCTCCATTGTGTGTGGTCAAAGGTTGGGATCCCCACCGCTACTGTGGATATCGGGGCATTCCCTGCTATACTTTTCAGATCTCCCTCCCCATCCCAGATTGTCAGGGTTAGAGATGTAGTTGGGAGGGGGTCTATGTGCGTAGGGCGTAGGTGATTTGGCAGCCAGAACAGGTTGTATAGGCCGTGTCCTCCCACCCAGTGAGTTTCTATTTTGGTCCATTGTGGGGTTTCCCCTTCTGCTGTGGATACCTTAACTGCTGATAGCTGTTCTGCTCTATAGTATGTGAGGGTATTTGGTAGTCCCAACCCCCCACACACACTGTAACTGGCTGCTGTAGAACGGAGGATGCTACCCTTGATTTCTTCTTTGTCCAAATAAAGCGTACGAAGAGACTCTGTAGTGCTGTCAGGTAGGTTTTTGGTAATTTTATGGGTAGTGTGCGTAGATACTGGAATTTCGGGAGCAGCATCATCTTTATTGCTGCCAGTCTCCCTACCCATGATAAATATTTGCCTTCCCAGCTGTCCAGTGTTGCCGCTTATTCCTTGTGGAGTTTAGTGTCGTGTCTGTCCAAAAGCTTATTTAACTGGGCCGGGATCTTAATGCCTAGGAACATGATGTGATCTGGTCTCCAATCAAATGTGAAGGCTGATTTAAGTCTATTGAGGGCTTCTGCTTGAATCCCTATCCCCATAGCCTGGGTCTTGCTGATGTTAGTTTATAATACGAATGTCATCCGTATTTTCTATAATGGTCTCCACCAGGTTAGGGAGGGATATCTGTGGCTGTGTCAGGGTGAGCATTATGTCGTCTGCAAATAGGTTTGTTTTATATTCCCTGTCTCCTATTTTCACCCCATGTATTGAGGTGTGTTGCCTTATGGCAGCTGCTAGCGGTTCTAGGGCTAGTACGTAGAGTAGTGGGGATAGCGGGCATCCTTGGCGGGATCCATTAGTTATGAGGAAGTGATCTGACACAAACCCCGCGTTCAGGACTTGGGCTGCTGGCTTGTTGTATAGGGCTCTGACTGCCGAGAGGAAGCCCTCTGGCACTCTGAATTTGGTTTCTTGAATTTTTTGCTTTTACTGACAAGCCTAATGCAACTTTCTGTTGCCTTCAGCAACACGCTGCACGCTTTTCAATGTAAGCACTGATGTTTCAGACTAAAGGCAGTGTTTACATTGCTGTCTGGTAACACCTCGAGTGACAGTCAGGGCCGGACTGGGAAAAAAATTAGGCCTGGGCATTTTTCAATTAGAGCAGCCCCCCAAGAAGGGGGCGGGGCCAGAGAGGGTGTGTTTTGTCATCACTAATGACAAGTACGCCCCTTCTGAAAGTGAGCATGTTGGTTCAATGCGCAGAGCCCCGCTGAAGAGCTCTAGAATTAGAAAAAGGCCCTGTATTTGTTCTGCGCAGCGCAAGCAAATGTAATAACATGCTTGCGCTGTGTTTGCTTTTAAATTGTCTCTGGTGTCTCCACAAGTGGGATACCAGAGGATAAAAGGGCCAGGAAAGTGTATGGTGCATGTGTTTGGCGCATGCTTGTGGGATTGCCTGTGTGTGTAGAGTGTGGTGTGGTATTGTGTAAATAGGTAAATTTTGTGGTGAAATATGTGTGGCTAGGGGCTGTAGAGAGCGCGTGTATAGGGGCATAGTGTTATAGGGGATGTAGCGAGTGTGTACATACGGGCAGTAGTGTGTGTGTATAGGTGACGTAGTGTGTGTAGGGGTTGTAGAGAGGGTGTGTTTAGAGAATGTTGTATGTGTTTGCTTACAAGGAATGTAGTGTGTGTGTAGGTGGTGCAGTGTGTGTGTAAGAGATCTAGTGTGTAAAGGACCCAGAGTGTGTATAGAAGATTGTGTGTGTATGTGTGTGTGTAGAGGATTAAAAGTGCATATAGGGTAAGGGATCTAGCGTGTATCTGGAGTGTAATGTGTGTAGTGGTGCAGTGTGAGGGATGCTGTAGTGTGTGTATATATATTTAGAATATATTTGGACGTATTGTATGTGTGAGGTGCGCAGTGTGTTTGTGTAAGAGGGGTGCTGTGTGTGAGGGTGTTTTTATCTGCCGTCACATTCTAGGTTTCTAATTATCTTTGTCTGTTAACTCACTGAGGGTTATTTTATATAATATATATATATATATATGTGTGTGCTGTATATGTGTGGGAGTGAGGGTGCTGTCTGTCTGAGGGTGCTGTCTGCGTCTGAGGGTGCTGTCTGCGTCTGAGGGTGTTGTGTGTGTCTGGGGGTGTTGTGTGTGTGTGTCTGGGGGTGCTGTGTGTCTGAGGGCGCTGTGTGTGTCTGGGGGTGCTGTGTGTGTGTCTGGGGGTGCTGTGTGGGAATTTATTTAAAATATTTTTTTTTTATTAATAATTAAAAAAAAAAGTTATGTTCCCCCCCCCCCTTCTTACCTTTATCCTGGGAGGGGGGGAGGAGATCCGTTCTGCCTGGGGGGTGGGGAGCCGTGCTGACATCCTTCCCTGGTGGTCCAGTGGTGAGAGATCTGAGCGTTACCGTGGTAACCGCTGCAACATTCAGAATCCTCTCTCTTCCCTCCCTCACTCCCCAGCCGGCGGCTGCCTGTAACTGCCTGTGGGTTGGTGAGGGAGATCTTTGATCTTTTTTATGCAGGTCAATGGAACGGCAATGGGAACCAAATTTGCGCCCAGTTACGCCAACTTGTTTATGGCGTACTGGAAAGAGCAATTTATTTTCACACATTCTTTATATGAGAATTTGGTTACCTATCACCGTTTCATTGACGATATATTTTTTATATGGAAAGGAAATGAAGCGAGTCTCACTGATTTTTTAAGTTCCTTAAATTCCAATGATTGGGGAATCATTCTCACCTCTACCTCAAGTAGACAGGAAATCAACTTTTTAGATCTCACCATCTTTGTGGAGGATGGGGACATTCAAACTAAGAATTATTTTAAAGAAGTAGATTGTAATGGTTACATAGATCTCAAAAGTTGCCACTACAATCCATGGCTCAAAAATGCCCCCAAGAGTCAATTCATGAGATTACGAAGAAATTGTATACAAGATAAAGATTTTAATACACAAACTGTAGTGATTAAAAAACAGTTTCTGGAAAAAGGTTACAAAGAAAGGGATCTAGATTTTAATCTGGATGAAGTGAAAAAGATGGAGAGAAAGGGATTACTGAAGTATAAAACGAAAACGAAGGAGAATAAAAATAAAGATACCCCATTCATTTGTAATTTCTCTGCTAAAAATAAACAAGTGCGACATGCCATTCATAAATATTGGCATCTTCTAGATAATGATCCCATTTTAAAAAACATTCTTCCTCTAAGACCCAGAATAGTACATAGAGGGTGTAATAATATTAGAAATGTCTTAGTGAAAAGAAATTATAAAGATTAATCAAATCAAAACAATTTTCTAATTAAGAATAAAGGCTTTTATGGATGTGGAACATGCGCAGCATGTAGGGAAACAAATAGCAAGAAAAGAAATATAAAGAATATTAAAGAGTTTACAAAAAAAGATTTTGAAATAAGAGATCAGCTTACATGCTTCTCTAAAAATATAATTTATCTATTAAAATGTCCATGTGAATTATTATACATAGGGAGAACAATAAGATGCCTACATGTTAGAGTTTCAGAACATGTAAGAAATATTAAAAAGGGAATAGAAACACATAGTGTTTCACATCACTTCAAATATTTCCACAACCAAGATCCAAAAGACCTCTCATTCTGTGCACTGAAAGTGGTTAAGAGAAATTGGAGGGGAGGAGATTTTACTAAAAAAATCGGAATCGAAGAAATGAAACTCATTTTTAATTTAAATACTTTAGCACTTCACGGCTTAAATATAGATTTTGAATTGTGCCATTTTTTATAAATTTATATAATTTTACAGATTTGTATACAAGAATATTTATCATATTTCATATATTTTTTATACATTATTTATTTTTACAATTTTTTATATTTTACCATAAAAGTAATAAGACCCATTTCTATATGGTTAATTCTCTTCCTCTCCAATATATTTGTGATATATTTCGTATTTTTTGTATATTTTATGGATTGGCACATTTATGAATTATATATATATATATATATATATATATATATATACACATGTATAGTACCATATACATAATATGGAAATATTAATGTACTTTGGATAAAACATATATGTCTAGCTCATGATCATTTTGCAGGATTAGTCATAATTTTAAAGATTATTTTTAGTTTATTGATATGATGGTTTATTGGTATTTTGGTTTACTGTTATTTTGGACAAATTGGATTGTTGCTGCTGTTTATATCTTCTTCTTTTTTTGAAGGAGTGCTCATGAACCGCAATTTAACATAGAGTGTTGCAAAAAGGACTCTTGAAGGGAAAAGGAACGCACGAATGCGTTCCACAGAACAGGAAGTCAAACAACATGATTGCAGGGAAGTAACGTGCGTTCCATTAGACGGAACGTGCGTTCCATAGCAACTACTTCCGGTCACATGGACGCAATGAATCAATCAATGGAGGTATAAATTCATTAAAAAGAAGCCGGACAACTTTTTAACCAACTGAGGAAGCCAGGTTTCTGGCGAAACGCGTTTTGGATTATATTTACAATTATTGTGGACTTACATAAGCCTATATATTTTATTATATTTTTTATTATAAGTGTTAATTTGTTTTATTAATAAATCTTGGATCCTTTCATCATTGGGACCTTCCTGTCTGCTTGATATACACAAAGGAGGAAGAAACCAGAAGGATACACGTTCAGTGGGTAGTTGATCTCCCCTTATAAGATCACAGAGCGCTTCACACTAGAGCCAGGTGACCTATTGGCTCTACTCTTGTGAGTTGTGAATTACCTCCCTCATTGAACTGCCTGCGGCCTGCCTCCCTCTTTGAACTGCTCCGCTACCAGCCTCCCTTAATGAGCCGACAGTACGCCTGCCTGCCCTCAGCCCTGTGTGAGCAGACTACTCAGAGGCTGAACAGGATCACAAATCACAGGCCTTAATCTAGCGAAATCACCTGTTCCCGCTACTCCTGGTTCCCTGAGGAACACACAGCTCAGAAGGGGAACTCTACAATTTACTATCAGCTCAGCCCAATGGACTTAGTGTTTTTATATTTGTTTTATCAATTTGTTTTACCATACTTTTGGAAATAAATTTGTATTATCTATTTAGCACAGTTTTGGTCCTATGTGATTCTCAACTCCAGAAGGGATCCATTTGAGGTTTTGCCAACCTTGAATTAGGCAACAGGTACTCAATTCCAGAGCCAGGATTTGTGGGCTCTGAATAAGGTGAGCTTAAAGTTTTTAAGCCAGTATATATAGGAATACAAAATATACTGTACCATTGGAGTTCTCTCTCTCTTGTTTCATATATCCACATTTCGGAGATCCACTTAATGAATGGTAGTATGCTACCATAAAGGCATAACAGCGTTGATTACAGAGCCAGTAGTTACAGGCTCTGGTCCATGTGAGTGGATCTTATAATTTATTATCCTAAATTCCATGTGTATTACCATCTGCACTACATATTCTTGTTTTTTGTTTTCTTCTTTTATGTGTTCGCTATACACCCGTGAAATACTATTGTACTGAGGGTAAATATAAATGCACTAGCACTTTCTTTAGTGCTCCACTTTATCACTTTTTGTCACATTTGTACTTTTTCTGTGTGTGGGCATAGGGGTACTCCCACATTTAAGTGTGTTGAGCTGCTATTACACTATTAGAATTTTTGGAGTAAAAGATTTTTGCTGAAAAACATATGTCCAACAACATCTATAAAATCAATATACCGTATCAAAATCGAAAATGAAAGTTTCCAAAATTTGAATGGGCATTAGATTTGATGGCGCATTACATTCGGGGTGAAATTAGAATTTCCTGGCGAATTCACACAGTTTCATTCCAAATGTGAATTTTGATGTATTTCGGGTAATTCAGACATTCGGGTTCTTCCGAATGTCAGAAGTGCCAAATTTCCAAATTGCTTCGGATTTCTGAAAAGTGGCAAAACAAGAGAGGGAGGGAAAATTATGTGAATGATGACAGGAGTAGGGTTAGGGGTAGGGTTACGGAGCCCTACATATGTTCCGAATTGCTGAAGTCCTGAATTGCCTAAGTGCTGAATTGCCAAAGTCCTGAATTGCCGAAGTTCATGTGCCGAACCGAAGTGACGAATTTCCAATTTTTTTACTTACCTGAATTTCTGAACTGAACCGAATTTTTGACCAATGCACATCCCTACTTAACATGTAACACTAAAATTTAAATACCATCAATGTTACTATGGTATATTGTAATAAACATTTTCATTGTAGCACAATGTTGCATAGTAGTATCTTTATAAATGTGCATTACATTCACCAGCAAAAACATTTTTCAGATTCCAGGTTTCAAAATTTGAGGTGCGCATCAGATTCGATGGTGCATTAGTTTCAAGTAAATATGGTAAAAATATGCAGGTAGTAGAAAGAAATATATTTGGAGATGAGTCCTCAGTGAAGAACAAATTTGACATTAAAGGGACACTGTAGTCACCAAAACAGCTATAGCTTAATGTAGTGTTTCTGGTGTCTATAGCATGTCCCTGCAGACTTTTTTTATGTTAACACTGATTTTTCAGAGAAAAGGCAGTGTTTACATTACTGACTAGGGACACCTCTAGTGGCAGTCACTTAGACAGCCACTAGAGGTGGTTCCTGAGTCAGTGCTGCATCAGAGATGCTGAATGGCGCACCGTGGTGGTACAATAGCCTCCCAATGCTTTCCTACTGGTAAAGAGTTGGATTGGCTGAGATTGTCACATTTGATTATCTCAGACATGTACGTGAAATGGGCCAGGGCCAGCTATGATGAGACACATGTGACACTGGAAAAAAGGTGAGTTTAACAACTTTTTAACGGAGGAGCATGGGGGGGGGCGGACACCTCAATGGCGCATTTAGAACTATAGTGTCAGGAATACATGTGTGTATACGTGTTCCTTTTAGGATGAAGTTCTGAATCCCATTCTAATACAAGGTTATTTAATAAAATGAGAATTCATAGTGAATTTTCAATTTAAGGTCAAAATAGTTAAACTGCAGTCAGCTATGCTTCCAATTACTTTGTCTTTAAATTTGAAATGCACTTTGAAGTCTCACTTTAGTAAATAATAATAGTGTGTGGACAAGGTGACACATACCTATATCATGCTCAATGTGTTTATAGTACACCAGCAATATAATGACAAACCTGGTGTTGTTGTATAAAACTAGTTGACAAAAAACATGATGAAGCGAAGGGCAACACAACATATTGGAGCACCCAAAGCAAGTACATCTGGGATTGGGAAATATCTCATAACTTAAATATGAAAGAAACTCGACCTTTCACAGTGTCCTATTTCCCATAAGATACACTAGGTGATCGTATGATGATACTTTCATGGAAATAAAAGGAGCAAGACGCATGGACAGAGATCATTTCTCATATATTGCTCTGTACCAGAGAGCAGCAGGTTTTCTCCGTAGAACCCAGACCCAGTGTAAGAACCAGCAGAGGGATGTTTATCTTTATGGGCTGCACACTCCGTTCTGTCTTTGAGTGCTGAAAAAGTGGATCTGATCACTTCCTGTTATAGGGTGTTTGTTTTATTAATCTCTCCTTTATTATGGCATTTGATTCACGGTTTACAGAAGAGAAAAAAAGGAGTTATACCAGGTAGACATACAACAGGCGTATCAACGCATAACAGAGGAAACTCCTAAGCTAGACTGTCACATTTTCATAATGTTAAGAAGACAGGGTATTTCATTCTAGTTATTAAAGAGACGGTTACTATGGAATAAAAATGCTAAAGACTATGTATATCTGGCTTGATTTTCTTGAGAAGATTAATATAGACTTTAAGGGACTCTCCAGTGCCAGGAAAATAATCCATCCCCAGTTGCTGAAGCGTTGGTTTCAGATCACCGCCGCTCCTCCTCTTCATTACGTCAGCCGGCAGGGGAGACTGATTCCGCCTGCCGGCTGAGGAGACCTAATGCGTATGCGCGGCAATGCCGCCCATGCGCACCAGAGCTCTCCATAGGAAAGCATTGAAAATGCTTTTCAATGCTTTCCTATGGGGAATTGAGCGACGCTGGAGATCCTCACACAGCGTGAGGACGTCCAGCGACGCTCTAGCACAGAAAACCTGTGCAATGAAGCAGGAAGTGCCCTCTAGTGGCTGTCTAGTAGACAGCCACTAGAGGAGGAGTTAACCCTGCAAGGTAATTATTTATCAGACATAGATAGACAAACAGGCAGATATATATACAGAAAGCTTACTAAAGCAGATTCTCTCGCTCCCCTATTTGCAACCCAACCAAAGCAGTGCACGCAATGCTTAAAATCCCCTTTGAAGAAGAACCAACTTTTGATAATGGGTATATGAGTAGCAGAGCAAAATATATTGCCCCATGCTAGAACCTCCATTGCTGAGATCAGATTGAGGGTAGTCAAGCTTCAAGTCTTCAGACACATCCAAGTGAAGTAGAGATCTCTATGCCATTGAGAAGGTATGATAACCATGAATCTAGGTGATGATCTGTCAGAGCCTCAGTTATAATAAAGAAGAAATAAAATGTTCAAGTAGTTGCAGCAGCAGTTATGTTTATGACATCACAGCATGACATCACCTACTATGATTTCACTGCTAAAGATCACAGTCTTTGATGTAAAGATTATCATGGACTTGCGTGACAAATTGCTTATTTTATGTTCATTTGTATCAGTTGATCATCACCACGCAAGTCCCTGAGGAAGTCCTATTTTTCTGGATGAAACGCGTAGGACCCCTGGTGGTGATATAGAAGGACTACAGTGATGATTTTATATTTTGATGTAAGTTATTAAAGGAACACTATAGTCACCTAAATTACTTGAGCTAAATAAAGCAGTTTTAATGTATAGATCATTCCCCTGCAATTTCACTGCTCAATTCACTGTCATTTAGGAGTTAAATCACTTTGTTTCTGTTTATGCAGCCCTAGCCACACCTCCCCTGGCTATGATTGACAGAGCCTGCATGAAAAAAAAAACTGGTTTCACTTTCAAACAGATGTAATTAAGTGTTCCTCCATAGCAAGACCACTTAATGTTATCTCACATATATATTATTATTATTATTATTATAGCCAAATTTACCACCCTAACTCCTCCCACAGTTTTTACACTACATAGACAGAAATATACCGAAACGTGCGGATTGTTCCAGATTGGATTGCTATTACTTTGTGGAACGTTTCGCCGAATGGTTCACGGAATATCGTCGTTATTGTGGCGAAATTGGTCCCATAGGAATGATTGGCAAAATGTTCAAAACTAGAGTGGGAGCTGGCAAAAGCTGAAAAATCAGGACATGATTTCTAAACTGCCACCACTCCTTCATTTGCAAGCCCACCTACACCAATCTTATATCAAAACATTCAGCTATCCCTGCTGCCACTAAAAATGTCCATGGCTAAGCCATAGTCCTGATAGTTTTTACATTATGACCATTTGTTTGCAACTCACGTCGTCTATTGACATTCATTGAAACTCCACTCTAGACAGCTCAAATTTGAAGGGCAATTTCTAAACTGCGACGGTGCCTTCATTTTTAAGAGACATACTATGCATCAAAATGTAGGCCTGGGTCTTGTGAGTCTCACAATATAAAGCTCTTCGCTGTAGGATGCACAGTTTTTAAAATACGACTGTTTGAAGATGGCAACCGCCAAAATACTGTGACCTGTGCCAGGCTGGAGCAGCAAGTGATGTCATAGACAGGGCCATTTGTACACCTGCTAATGTTTTTATAAATGTATGTTTTAATGTAACCGCGAAGCACTTTGGGCAACAACGTTGCAATTAAATGGCTATATAAATAAATAATAACAGTTACTCCGCACACTCCAGTTGTAGACTACTGGTGGAGGCAAGAACACTTCACACAATTTCCCCAGAAATTGTAGCTTTTCTAGTTTACCTTAAATAATTGTATCTCAATCTCTAAATTGAACTTTAATCACATACAGGAGGCTCTTGCAGGGTCTAGCAAGCTATTAACATAGCAGGGGATAAGAAAATCTTAATTAAACAGAACTTGCAATAAAGAAAGCCTAAATAGGGCTCTCTTTACAGGAAGTGTTTATGGAAGGCTGTGCAAGTCACATGCAGGGAGGTGTGACTAGGGTTCATAAACAAAGGGATTTAACTCCTAAATGGCAGAGGATTGAGCAGTGAGGCTGCAGGGACATGTTCTATACACCAAAACTGCTTCATTAAGCTAAAGTTGTTCAGGTGACTATAGTGTCCCTTTAAAACTCATTTTTGTACTTCACTCTGAATGTGCACCTTAATTTTATTATATTTCCTTTCTTGAGCACATATATCTAAATGCATCTATGGAGATTCTAACCCAGATATAAGATTTGGAATTCTCATCTTGAAGAGAAACAAATATTCAAGGCTTGCAAACTTCAGCAAAAGTGTGAGTGGCCACTTGTGAACGCAATTCCTATAATCTGTTTATATACACAGTTATACGCTATGTTGCTTTATTTGTGATTGGTTCTGCAGATCATCCCCCCCTCTTTTGCTTATACTGTGTGGAAGACAAAAGGAAGTCTTTGGCGATATCGCGGGATTTGGTTCCTTCTCCCTGGAGGGACAGAATGAAGAAGGACAGAATGAAGGCAGACAGAATGGAGGCAGACAAAATGAAAGAAAGACAGAGACATAATAAAGAGAGACAGAATGAAAGAGAGAAGGGACAGAATAAAGAGAGACAGAATAAAGAGATGAAATGAAAAGTATGCCATTTGCAATAAACTTTGCATAAAATAGTTAATTTGCAGTTAATTTTAATGGTTCAAAGAATGTCAGGCAAAATGGTCATCCCTCACTTCAACAAATCTGGCCCTCAAAAAAAAAGTTTGGACACCCCTGCCTTAGAGAATTAATATTGTTTATATTCTACAAGGCATATTACTTAAAAAAGGAAGGGTTGAGATGCTTATAGTACCCAACAGGGCAATTAAAAATAAAATATCCTTTTTTATATATAAAAAAAAAGGCTGGAGTACCCCTTTATTAAATGTTTTTTTTTTTTGTTTTTTTTATAAAGGAACACTATAGTCACCAGAACAACTATAGCTTAATGTAGAGGTTCTGGTATCTATAGCCTGTCATTGAAAGCTTTTTACTCTACTGCCAAGGAACACGTCACTCAGACGGCCACTAGAGGTGCTTCCTGAGTCAGTGCTTTATACTTATTTTCAGCGTCTCTACGCTCTGTATGGAGACGCTGGATGCTCACCATACAGAGATGCATTGATTCAATGCAGATCTATGAGGGGCTGCTGAATGGTGCAGTGTGGTGTTTTTCCGCGCATGTACAGTCATCTCCCAATGCTTTCCTATCGGCAGTGGCGTACATACCAGGGGGCCCGGCCGCCCTGCGACCGGTACGTACCCAGTGTGCCCAGCCTCCTCTTCTGGGGGTTCCAGGAGCCGGCCACCTCAGGGCCCCCCGAGGCTGGCCCTGGTGTCATATGACGTCATATTCCAGCTCATTACACGGCGCGCGAGGGAGCTGAAGAAGGAGCACTCAGGGGAGAGTGCTCCCTCGCATGCCCGCCAGCCTGCCCGGTGACCGGCCGCCCAGCAACACCACTGGACCCCAGGGAATCCCCTCAGTACTCCCAAAGGTAAGGAGGCTGGGGGATTAAATTTTTTTTAAAAACGTGTGTTAGAGTGTGTGTGTTAGTGTTAGAGTGTGTGTGTGTTAGAGTGTGTGTTAGTTTTTGTCAGTGTGTGTGTGTGTTAGTGTTAGTTTTTGTGTCAGTGTGTGTGTTAGTGTTAGAGTGTGTGTGTTAGTGTGTTAGTTTGTGTGTCAGTGAGTGTGTTACTGTGTGTGTTACTGAGTGTGTTAGTTTGTGTGCGTCTGTTAGTGAGTCTGTTTGGTGTCTGTTAGTGAGTGTGTGTTTTGTAAGTGAGTGTGTGTCTGTCTGTCAGTGAGTGTGTGTCTGTCAGTAAATGCGTGTGTCTGTTAGCTAGTGTGTATGCGTCTGTTCGTGAGAGTGTGTGTGTGTGTCTGTTAGCTAGTGTGTATGCATCTCCATGGCATTTTTCGTGTTTAGTTTTAAATGTTTTTTATTGTCATCACAGTGTAGATGCAGACAATAGCAGACATAGAGCGGGTGTGAAGAATTAATGCATTGTTGCCAACCCAGAGGCATAATATGTCAAACAAAGGTAAGGCACATTGCATATTTCACATCAATTCTGCCTTGGGCAATTGTAAGCTATTTGCATCATCTGAATAGCCAGTCTGCGTATGCATGCAGTATGGGTTTAAGCTAAATCTCATGCACTCAGCTAAACCTGCTTAGGAGATATACGGACAGGGCCGCCATCAGGGGGTGACAACCATAACGGTTGTCACGGGCCCGGCGGCCCTGGGGGGCCCGGCCGACCGGGCCCCACATGTGGGGTCCATCGGGTGGCCCACACACTTAGGGCCACCCGATGGGCCCTATATCTTCAGTGGCCCGGTCAGCGCTGTGGCCTCGACCGGGCCCATTTAAAAAAAAAAAAAAAAAGCCGCAAGTGCTGCTGGGAGGAAGTGGTCTCTTCCTCCCAGCACACTCCGCGCGGGAGGAGCGCGCGCGCCGGTGAAGACGTAGAGCCAGGCAGTGAAGAGGGAGCCGCGCCGATTCCCATCATCCCCAGTCACCCTCCTGCAAAGAAAAGGTAAGAGACAGGAGGGTGGCTGGAAAATGAGCTGTGTGTGTCTGTATGCATGTCTGTCTATCTGCATGTATGTCTGTCTGTCTGTATGTTTATGTATGTATGTCTGTGTGTGTCTGTGTTTGTCTGACTGTATGCATGTATGTCTATGTCTGTCTGTCTGTATGCATGTCTGTCTGTCTGCATGTATGTCTATGTCTGTCTGTCTGTATGCATGTCTGTCTGTCTGCATGTATGTCTATGTCTGTCTGTCTGTCTTCATGTATGTCTGTCTGTAGGCATGCATGTATGTCTATGTATGTCTGTCTGTGTGTGTATGTATGTATGCATGTATGTCTATGTATGTCTGTCTGTGTCTGTATGTATGTATGTATGTATGTATGTCTGTATGTCTGTCGGCATGCATGTATGTCTATGTATGTCTGTCTGTGTATGTATATCTGTCTCTGTATGTATGTCTGTCTGTATGCATGTATGTCTATGTATGTCTGTCTGCATGCATGTCTGTGTGTGTGTCTGTATGTATGTGTATGTCTGTATGTCTGTCTGTCGGCATGCATGTCTGTCTGTGTATGTATGTCTGTCTGTATGTATGTCTAAGTATGTATGTCTGTATGTATGTCTGACTATATGCATGTATGTATGTATGTATGTGTATGTCTGTGTGCATGCATGTATGTCTATGGATGTATGTATGCATGTATGTCTGTCTGTCTGTATGTCTGTCTATGTATATATATATATGTCTGTATGTCATTATATATGTATGTCTGTATGTCAGTATGAATGTATGCCTGCATATCATTATGAACGTGTGTATGTGTGTATGGATGTCTGTATGCATGTATGTCTGTCAGTATGTCTGTATATATGCATGTATGTCAGTCTGAATGTATGTATGTCTGTATGCCATTATGAATGTATGTCTGTATGCCATTATGAATATATGTGTGTATGGATGACAGTGTCTGTATGTCTGTCAGTATGTCTGTGTGTGTGTATGTATGTATGTCGGTGTCTGTATGTATGTATGTGTCTTTATGTCCTCATGCATGTGTGTCTGTATGTATGTTAGTATGTGTCTGTCTGTCACTATGTATGCCTGTGTGTATGTCTCAGTATGTATGCCTGTATGCGTGTAAGTCTGTTTCAGTATGTGTGTCTTTTAGTATGTATCTCTGTCTTTTTGTATCGGTGTGTGTGTTTGTGTCTGTGTGTGTATTCCTGTGGGTGGTATTTGGAGGCGGACCCAGTGGGCGGTATTTGGAGGCGGGCCCCAGGGGGCCCAGTCCCTGAGCTGAGTTAGGGGCCCCAAAATTTCTGGTGGCGGCCCTGTATACGGATACTTTGTGTGGGGCATAGAAAGCTAAATCATATGAGCGGATGAGAAAGAAAGCATCTGGTAATAATAAAAAAAACTTAGAAGTGATTAATATTTGTGCATATTATACTCGGATGCTAGGTGTGTAATGGCTGATGAACGTAACACTTGCTTAAAAGTATGTCAAATAAGGAGTGCAGGCATCCTATAAGATTACAGTTAAGTTAAAGCCTTCGAGTATCAGTCGGGTGCTACTCAGACTAGACGTTTGTGCTAGGTGTGTTAAACAGAGCGTACACCGTGGGTGCGAGCTGTGTGTAGCCGCCTACCTCTCTGTGGGGTGGTATATGGCAATACGGCATGTGATACGGTAGAGGAAGCTATATGTATAAGCCATTTGTCGAGTGTCATTCGGCCAATCAGGTGAATACCACCGACTGCACAGAAATGGTTTGGTCTAGTTAGTTAAGGGCAAATTATTAACAAAAAACTATAACACTAACAATACCCAGTAGAACTGGGAAACATCAGGGTTGCTTGTAATGTCCGCGGGCAGACAGTACAGTGCGTACACAGGGGCAACGTGAGTCCATGCAGCCACCCCCCACCCCACCCCAAGAGTCTGCAGTCCCAGTGCCTCCTGCACCTCCCCTGGACCGCAGTTACCTCGTTAGGGTCAACAGATGCCCATGAACGTCTCTCCCACTGCTGGCCACTCAGACACGGGAGAGGGCACACCGCCCCTCAGCCACAGGTCCGCTGGAGGCAAGCAAACCCCTGTCCCGCAGGGCTCGCGGCTGTGTGGACTTTTCTCTTCCGCCAGACCCAGCAGTTGGGCATCTGTGGCCTGTGGGTGGTCGGGGTCATCTGTCCGTGGCCCGGTCAATCCTGGGCTTGTAAGTGCAGTCTGTGGTGCCCCAAAGGACGGTGGTACAAGTCCCTTTAGTCCCTTTTGCTAGCAGGCCCCTTTTTGGTAGCCTTTGCCAGTCCATGAGGACAGCCCGGGTCCAGCACGGAAAAC